TAATTCTCACTTTATTTGGCTATATCACATTATATATTTAAGAGACTTGTATATATTTTAAAGAATAGTTATTCTTAGTTGTATATAATAATTGTCATGAATTTAAAAGTCAGATCTTACGAGCAACCATGTCGTAATCTAAATAAGAGTTAAAAACTACGAAACTGGTCCAGCCTCGACCACAACTTGCAGTTGTAATTAAAACGTTATGGAGAGAATATCCACAGTTGACAAAGTATTTCAATTAAATGTTTTGAAAATACATGCGCGTGACATACATCCACAAAAGCACTTATCTCTTTGATGGTGTATGTAGTAGGTTCACATATAAATGTGAACGTGAAGGACTAGTGTATAATGTATGGTTAAGAGCATGTGCAGTGGGGAGAACCCATATTAGTCTCTCAAATATATTATTTTAATAATTTTTGTTTAATTTTTTTTATTTTAAAATTTATAATCAATTATGATGAGATATGTGTCAAATGAGTCTCTCACAAGGTTCTCAAAGTCTCTCAAGACTTACTTTATTCTCTTTCTTACTTTTTTGTTATTTTATAATTTTTTGTGGGTGAGAGACTCATTGAGAGACTACCACTAAACATGCTCTAAGAACTTTTAATTTATTGAATTCCATTTCATGTAATGTTCAAATGTACAAGGACGTTAAGTCGACACGAAGACTTGGATTACATGGCGGTGGTTACGTTTTGACTCGATCCCCTTTTTTTCTTTGTTTTTTTAAAGCTTATTTCAGTTTTATCAAAAAAAAAAAAAAAACTTATTTCATGCCAAAACTGTAATTGTTTTTTTTTTTGTTGAAATATATTAACTTCATGTTATAGAATTTAAATTAAAAGTTCTTTTAACCAATAACTTCTTTAATCATTAATATAGTACAAAATACAATAAATTGTTCAGCTTAGAGCATGCTTAGCATAAATAAAAAACAATGTATTGCTCTTGTGGTTTGGAACCGAGAAATTATCTAAGATGCGTTTAATAATTTATGGTTGATGACAGGGATAATTAGTTTCATACAAGGATGATTACGAACCGAAAAACTGCATTGCGTAAAAATCAAACAAAAAAAGAAATAAAGAGTTGTGATACAAAGTTTTCCATTTTTCCTTAATCTTATGTATCTTTGAGCCGTCACGTCCTTCGAATCATTCTTTGCTTATTGGAATCAATAACCATGAAAATACAACTAAAAGATAAATTTCAAAATCTCACTTCTCTGTCGTAATCCTGTTTTGGGGTCATTGATTCTTCCATATACAAGCTTTCCCAAAAGCTAAAGGCTATACATAACTGTTGCAAATGACTGATCCGTTAAGGCTAATTTCAACAAAAATATTACTTTTGGTAAACACACTCAGATCAACATGGTTGGCTAATGTGGATGTATTAATTAAACAGCAAGATCCCGATGCTCTTAATTCAGATTTCGATAATTAGTCGTCTAGGTTCATCTTGGGATCTTCTGATAAATAATATGAAAAGCACACACTCTAAATTATCTGGTTCTCGTTGCTCTCTTCACTTGCAGTCTTATAAAAAGAACTAGTCCCAACACTCAATCAGATTCCACTCTATAATGAGGCTAACATTCCTGAAAAATACCCAATAATTATCACGATTTGATATCTTCAAGTGACAAAACCTTTACTACAAGAAATCCTTTAAGCAGTTTTTTTACATATCTAGACAACAGCAAGACAAGTCCTTGGTTTGTTAATGACCAATCCCTAGTTCTACAAAAAAAAAAAGCCTTTTGGAACTCTGTTTCAAACAACAACGAACTGGCCCATAGCCAATTCACCTAAGTACGCATTGTTTTTTGTGAGAATTTTTCTAGCTAACCTTAAAAGTTACCCTCACAAGCATACAATAAACTAAGTCATGCATAGTATATCTCTCAGTATTTAATTTTCCTTCCTCATATATGATTGATACATTAAGTCTTTAGTTCTGGTTGAATTACTTTATCAGAGTCTAAGAGCAGTGTTTAAGATCTATAGAATACTGTAGTTCGAAATTATCCACCACCCATTTCTTTCTAAGAAATTCAAAAAAATAAGAGTTTACTATTTTTCTTGGATCAGGCGGAGATTTATGGGAACGTGTGTGACACGAAGTTCGATGATAAACAACTTTCCAAGTTAACTTCTTTGCCTACCTCTGAACTCAAGTTGCGTAATTTCCTCCATTCTAGTTCACCAAATTAATACTAGTATTCTCGTTTTTTCCTTTTTGACAATTTAATTATCTTTTAGGTTTCCTAATACTCTGACCAAAAAGAAGGCTTCCGTAATATTTACCCAATTTCATAACTATTATGTAATTAAACTTTTGAGAAAATTAGACACAAACGAACTGTGACATTAAAATGCTGTTGAAGTGGCGGTGTTATATATGGTAGCGAGGGTCTATATATCTTTCTTCTTGAGGGATAATATATTTTGTTTACCTCTAACAGTTGTCAATATGAATAGGAATACGAGGCTTAGAGCTAAGAAAATTTCCAATTCATAGAGAATTGGGTTTCGCATGTAATCGGCCTAACTTGTATTTATAATCCGTAACCAAAATAAAAATAAAAACAACTCTATATATCATATGTTAATCTCATAAGATTATCTGACTTTATCAATATAAATGTACACATATATCTCTAAGATATGCAATTGTTAATATATTTTTATGTGCATATCACTGATATCAGCATATATATATATGTGTTCGTACGTGTAGTTTTTTTTTTTTTTTCATGTAGAAAGGAGTTGAAAGAAAAGTAGGAACAAATATGCTCTTTCTCTGACACTCCCTTTTTGGAGAAGGATCTACACACTAACACATAGGCCAGACCGCCAGAGATACTAACAGGCTTCTCACACGTGCACCCGTGGTACACGTGCGTCTCACTTTCTGTGAATTGTGCAAGTTCAAGTAACGAAGCAAATCTCAATCGAATCCAAAGACAAGGACCTCCACGTGGGATTCTTGAGGAAATCTTGAAAACGACTGAATAACCAAAATAAATAATGATCCTATATAGCGTATACATGTTACCCCTTAAATTTGTACTTAAATTATCGACTTTCTTAATTACATGAAATGATCTATAAGATTTCATATAATTGTGTATATCATTTGTATAATAGGTACAATAACACAAATTCATAAATTTATATGCAAATATAAGTATCATCCATCGGCTGTGAAATCAAAAGGGCTCCAACTTCCAAACAAGAGGTTGGTGGAATCATTGGATTCATCAGCGAAATGAACCACCGGTTCGTGTACAGCCTGAGCCGGAGTCACACCAACATCTACATGGTTATGGCCAATCAACAAAGCATCAGACCAAACACCATTAGTGTCTAAAGAGAGAAGCTCTTCACCAGGAAACGGAGGCAAGCCATTATAACCACATTCCTCCACAATGTGTTCCACCTGATTATTGTAATGATCATGATGATGACCATCATTGATGTCCATACTCCATGAAGGGTCCATGGAAGTGCCAGTAGGATTATCAACTAGAAAATCCGTAGTGACTGTAGCTAAATCGCAGTTTTCTTGTAGTATAGATTCATCAGTCTTTGGATTCAAGAAATTGGCGTAAACAAGAGCAAGATCTATACTTGGTGAACCACCACCAGAGCTGCCAGAATTAGCGGTTAGACCGGTTTTAGTGTTGTTACCAGAGGAGGATTTGGGGCGGCGGGATTTGCGACAGCCACCACCTACAGGAACATTGCGGAGGGAGCCACCTTTGGTCCAATATCTGCGGCAGCCTTTGCAAAAGTAGCGAGGCTGAGTTAGGCTATAGTTGTTGTAGTAACAGAACTTTGTGTTGGAGGATCCACATCTTGGACAACTCGGCGTTATCTCCGTGTTTGCGTTTGCGTTTGGCCGCCATATAAACGATGACGTCAAGGCCTCTGCTCTCTCCATATCTCTCTCTTCCTTACTCTCTCAGATTAAGAATGTATTATATACGCATGCATGAATGTGTGTGTGAGAGTTAGTGCATGTGGAGAGGGTGAGACACGTGGAGGCTGGAGAGTGGAGGAAGTGTTGGGGAGCAAATGCCTCGTAAGGTTGCACTCACTGTTGCTTCTTGGGGGAGACAGGGTTAAGGGTTTTGAATCTTTGATAAATATTTAAAATACTAGTATTTGTTTTTTTAGCATAAGATATGAATAAGAAAATAGATCGTCTTGGAGATTGTTTCGAAGCGAACTAAGAAGCCTATGGCCTCTTTGGAGAGATGGGTTATTGGTGTACATTGAGCTATTTGTACGGCTTAGTTAATGGACGCTGCACGATTACTATATGTCTATCTTTAATAGAATGTAAAATCACATTAAGGAAGTAAATATTCATATCAATAATGGTAGAAGTAAACCATGAGTTATCTATATATTGCAACATTTTCTATTCACATTACATTCGCGAGGAAGATGAAGATTTGGCCAGAGTCGTTAAGAAGTACAGAACTTGTAGATAGTCATATTATATAGTATGAAAATGGTATATATGTAAGGTATGCGTAACGATCGTCTGTGAATAGAAACTATGGAACGAGAAGGTGAAACAAGAAAGCACAAGTTTTGAAGAACAAGGACTGTCTCTATTTGTCTACTTTGACTTCAATTTATTTGATTATTTACCCACAGAAAAAGGGGGCTTGGAAAGGAAAATCTGAATGGGGAAAAGAGCTTCTTGGATCATGTGAATATTAGCCAAGAATCCTATATAGGTCTTACGTTTTTCTATATATCTAAAAAAATCCTGAAATTTAGCTTACCTTATACTATATGCAGAAATTAGATCACCATCACACTAATGTTGGTTTTAGAGAAATAGCTTTACATTAGAAACTCTTGCAGAAACTTGTTGAACATTAATGATAATTGTGGTTTGATCAAAATGTCTTGCATAAACATGATAAACAACAACAATAGTACAGATTGTTATATAGCATATATCAAACATTAGATTTGCTATTAATCCTACTAAGTCTCCATTGCGTCACTCTCATCAACAACCATCTCAATTTCATTTCCATAACCCATTTTGAACTTGAACTCTCTCAGATTTCCCACCCACACACTATAACTCGAGTTCTTCGCCAAAACATCCACAGAAACCTCCTTCGTCTTCACCAATGTATTCGCATAACTCTCAAACAGAAGAATCTTTTTCCATAACAAAGATCGCTTCTGCGCATCACTACTCTCTCTTATCACCTCATCCAAACACTCTTTTACTTCCTCAAGCTTAGCCCAAAAGCAAGTATCTTGCGTAGTGCTCGTGTATATGCTTCTCTCACACTTATCGGGCTTTGCAACTCCTTTCTGCCATTGATCAATCACCTCATACCTTTTAGGTCTATTCCCCTGATCCAAGTAATGTCCACCACTCTTTATATCTCTGTTTTTGTAGAAATTCGCAATGTCGAGTGGCTCGGTTAAGAGTTGATAAAATTGAGATGCGTAAACCCATTTCTTTCCTAGATGAAAATCAAAAGGTAACTCATTCGTCTCCACCATTTTAACCACTTTGTCCCAAAACTGAGCTAGTCTTTTGCGACTCATGTTCACCTTATAGTCTCGTTTCAACGAATATCGTTTGAAGAAATCGTAGTAACCGAGCTGCTCTTCTGATGCGTCGCAACGATCTTTGTACCATTGAATCTCAAGTCTTGCTGGCAAGACACTAGCAAGATCATTGGCTAACTCGGCTGACCTCAAAATCGGAGCCCGAACAATTCTTGTAGTTGTTTCTATACATTCCTTGACTAATACACCACTTGTGTCATCATTAGAGAAACCTAGAGCTTCAACGGCTAACGCAACACCAGCTTGGTAGCTATTGTCGGGGATATTCCCACCAAGAAAGCTTCTAGATTTAAGAAACATGTGAGAAAGTGTGAACACATAGTGTCCGTACCTCTGATGTTCCTCGATGTTTGGAGTTCCCATGGCGTTGAGCATTTGAAACATCCGAAGAACAGAATCAGCGTTGTCTAGACAGACACCTCCATTGTCGGAACAGAAGAGATAAGTTCCAAAGGGCCAGAATTGTTCATTGCTGCTTCTAGGAACGAGGTCGTGGATGGAAACCACGTGGCAAAAGTTATGAGCTAAACGTGATCGTGAAATTGAGGTGGACAGAGATTGGTTTCCGAGCAGAGGAGAGCCAAAGGTGATGCAAAAGACGCGGAATGGCGGCAGAGAAGTTTGAGATAGAAGCCAAAGTGCGGTGAGAGCAGCCACTGCGCCACCGGTTGAATGGCCGGTTATCACCACCAGCTGTCTTCCTACCAATTCCAATTCCAATACTTCCTTGACCTGCACGTTAACGCAATGGTAAATTGGTTGACTAATCAAGATTAACAAGAACCAAACTTATTATTGATTACCTTCCTTCTGAGTGAACAATTTCCTCTAATAATGTAAACTGATATAGAGACTAATTTGCCAATTACTTAGTTTAACCAAAATCGAATAAAAACCAGTTAAGACACCCCTCTAGATTTACCATTTTTACAACTTATATCTCCATTTATGATCTGTTCTTGTTTTGCTACTCATCCATACTAATAGGAACTTGGTGTTTTTCAAGATTTTCGTATCCATAACATTAAAACCCAAAAAAAATTCACATCGTTAGAGACAAAACAAAAACTAAAAGTATTAGATGAAAAAGGAAAGAAAAAAACATGATGCTGACACATAATCATGGGTTAAAAACTTTTTGAGCGCACATTTAAAAACTTCAGCATAAAGCGTAAAGCTACCAATTACATTAACATTTCACTCACCAATTAGTAAATTTTAAAATCACTTTGGCAGACGAACGTGATGGCATACAAACCAAAATTCAATTTGACGTTGCTTGTGATATCCAAAGGTCACGGACAATGATATCACAAATGGTGGAATAATTGTATCCACGAATCTTTTTAGTATTTCTTATGAGAATATAATTATTTACCTATTGTCTATTGCCTAATGGGGTTGGTGGTAGACCTGGTGGTGATAGTTATACTCTTTTAAAAGAAGAAAAAAAAACTCTTTGGTATATAATTCATCAAAACACAGAATACTGAGCTATTTAAATAGTAACAAATAGTAATGATGCCATCTTTTGTTCTACTAAAAAAAATACTGATACCTAAAGTTAATTACTTAATTTAGTAAGTGAAATCCGTTTTCGCAAATCCAAACGGATAAAACTTATTATGGAATTTAGTTTTAAAAATTTTCCCTTTGTGAAAGAATTTCCCATAATAGCATTTAATGAATTTGTATTTTTATGTCAAGGTATTAATTGAAATCCAAAATATCCAAATGTGTACAAAATAAAACAAAAAACAAAAAAAATCCAAATGTCTTGAAGATAATAAATAGGTTAAATTGCATCCAATTAAAAAAAAAACAGAGGAAGAGAAAACAAACCTTTAATTGAAAAAAGAGCTTAAGTATGGCAGCGTCGACCATAGGCAGAGGCTCATCGGTGGATAAGCCAGGGAAAAGAACATCTCCGGCGACTGGCAAGCCCACAAGATCTCCCAACTGAATCATCGGCACCGCCTGTATAGCAACGTACGTAATTCCGGCGATGAGCTGGATCTTTATCCTCCCGTCGCAATTTGCAGTGTTGCATGAACTCCAAGAATCGGTAAATAACGGTGTCGACATCAATAACGACGCTTGTATCTCACTCGTCTCGAATCGACAATCTTCCATGATTGGAGATCGAGTAGAGTTTGCAGAAAGATGATGTTTCTGAGGTTGTAATATTACAAGCAAAAGGAAATTCTCTATGTACGTTCTTGGCTTGTTCCTATGTAATTTCTTGGTTTTGGTCTTTGCTAAGTCGTCTTCTCCAAAGTCTCTTTCTTTAACATAATAATTTTGTAAATTTGTACTGGTTTTTAAAAAATAATAATAAAGAAATGCTCTGAAAGGTAGGTCCATTCTCATTTTTAATCATTGTGTGTAGTGGACATAATATAGTAGAAGAAAATGCGAATCAAAGCATTTGATATCCTGTGTAACATGAAATGGTTTGGACTTGAGCATAAATTGACAACTTTTGATATGCAGTGAGTTATTGTGGTAAGAGTTTATCTATCTTTCATGGAAATTACAGAGAAATTAGCATATTTGAGACATTGATGTTTACTTTGGCATAGCTTTTAAAGGAACCAATTGCTTTCAGCTTAACATGATAGTCATACAATTTGGCCCATATAATAAGTCTTGTAAGTTGATCTCACCATGACTTGAGGAGACTTTCAAGATATAGATCCTTAATATGGGTTTCGATAGTTTACTGTTTGGAAAGGTTTGGATTTAATTTTAAAAAAGCAGTGAAAGGTCCATCTTGATCTCTGCTTGGGCTCTTTGTGGAAAAAACTAAGAGTACAAAATGGGGCAAATTATCAGAAAAAAGGTTTGATGAAGATAAATCTGATGATTAAGTCTTACACATGTATTGAAAAACTCTTGCATAAACAAACTGATAATGATGAAATGTCAATGAAAATATCTAATCATTGAAATGCTACAATCTACAGTAATCTTCAGGTTTTGATATTGTTTCCTCAATTGGAATAACTATAATCATACTTCAAAGTTCAAACAATGAACTGTCAGTTCTAACTTCTAGCTAAGTCTCCCATTAGAGAGTAAGTAGTATTTTCCTGGTGTTTTCTTGTATGATAAAGTCAGTCGTCGTCCAAAGTTTTTTGTTTTGTACTAAATGATGTTAATCAATCAATCTGACACATCTATGTCTCACCACAACTTTTTAGTCAGATTGATTGATTGATTAACATAATTTAGCTAATAATAGTTGATCTGCGTTATCTATAATGAGATTACTAATCTAAAGCAATCTTGCAAATTTGTATTTGTCAAGTTTGATATTTCCTCACACATAAGCTTCTTCTCAAGACATGTATAATCAAATCATACCTTAAAAACAATTTAAGTGCTTATTGGATTCACAGTTCCTTCTTCCACCTTAATAATTCAGCTCGAAACTTTATACAAATACGAAACTGTATAACAAAACATGTATGAGAGTATTGGTTAGATTAAGGCTTCTCGTTATGCGATTGAACAATAATAATAGATTCAATATAGCAGAATTTTCCAAAAACTGACTAGTGAAACAACGATCATAACCCAAAAGAAATTGCACAAACTGTTATGATTTTGGTTCAAATTAAATATCAGTTACACGAAATGGCACATATATAGATTGAATTCAGCAAATCTCTTTAATCTTATAAAACCCTAATTTTACAAACCCTCTTTGGATGTGGTTGCCTTGTCGGCTGTGTCGAAGTCATCGGGGTCTTTGGACGGGTCAGATTTGTCGATTGAGGAACGGAATGTGTCGAGGAAAGGCTTGAAAGCGATCTCTATGGCTAACCATCCTAACGCCAACGCTGCGACCACCACAGTCGCCTGTTTCGCTCCCGAAGTTTTTCCCATCGCTGCGTCTTCGTCTCCTTCGCGTGTCGGTTGAATCAGATCGATGTTTTAAGATTGGGCGATGGGTTTTAGGGTGATTAAAATGGGCCGGTTTGGGCTTCTCATTGGATAAAGACCTAATACAATTAGTTTGTTAGTTACACTATAGCCCAACTTTCTATTCGCTGGCGTTTATGTTTGTAGTACGGAAAAATGGGTAGAAAAACCCTCACCTTTCTTAAAAACATAGAAAAAACCCTCAACTTTTTTTGTGGGTTTTTAAACCCCCACTTTTTCATAAATGGTAAAATAAACCCTAGTATTAATAAACTTAATTTAAATTCAAAAAATAGTTATACTAAAACATAAATAAATAAAAACAATTTGATTTAGGGTGTTTTTTCTAAAATTCTAGTTTATAATATTTTTCTATTTTGAAAATATGTAAGTCAGGATGTAAAAAAGTTAACTAGTGAAGTTTTATTCGGTGTGTTACAAGAATTCATCAACATGAAACCAAACCGATTTTATTACGAATTATATGTAAATTCTTATATCGAAACCGAATATGAGTTTTGATTAATAAAGGTTTATTAGGTTCGGTCTCACAAATTTACTAACGTAAAACCAAACCAAATTTTATAATACTACGAAAAGTACATGAATTTCCACATCAAAATATTTTCATTGGACAAACTAAATAAAATTGACTAACAATTAAAATTTCTATATATATATATATATATATTACGATATATTAAAATATAATATAAATTATATTTAATTAATCATTATTTAACTATATTTTTATCCAAAACTAGAACACTCGAATAAAAAAAATCAAATGTGATATCCTATAAATTTTTGTAGTTTATATAACATAACTTCTAATTGTAACAAAAATAATTTGCCTAATCTCAACTTAATGGTGAATAAATGTTCATAGCGCAAAAACCCTAATTTTAGAAAAAAAAATCGTAAACTCAAATTTGAAATAAAAAATCATAAATTAAATTATTTTTCTTTCTTACAGTTTTAATATAATGATTTTTTAAAAAATTAAATTAAGTTTATTAATATTAGGGTTTATTTAACCATTTATAAAAAGGTGAGGGTTTAAAAACCCACAAAAAAAGTTGAGGGTTTTTTCTCTGTTTTTAAGAAAGGTGAGGGTTTATTTACCCATTTTTCCTTGTACTACGGATCCATGTATCACATTATATGTAAATACTTGAATTTTAATGCAACCACCCATGAAATTTAAGTATAAAAAATATGGATTTGGAATCTCAATTTCTTTTATTAAAAGATTAATTTAAACAAAAACAAATTTAGTCTAATGGTGAAAATATAAGTTGATTATATGGAATGTTTCATAATCCAAAATTTAGTTTTAATTTTTTTTTAAAAAAAACTTATCTTAAAATATTAAATTTTGAACCAGGATATGCCGGATAACTTGATCTTAGTGTTGTCGTAGTCACCATTAGCGTATAAATTTGCATAATATAGGTGGTTGACCCAAAAAGAGAGGATTGATTCAATTTCGATATAAACAGGTTCGTTTTGGTTCAGTTTTACCTGTTACTTTTAATTTTGTCCAATCCCAAAACTATTACTTCAAAGACAAAATGGAGAAGAAACAAAAAAACACTACCAAATGGCAAATGGATGACAAAAGATTATTATATAAGAAACTTAGCATTAAAATATTAAAAATGGACAGCGACGAATTCAAACCTGTGTCTTAATTGTCTCCGGCGACTAAAATCTTCCACTTTGCCTAATTTCAATACATCACATTCATCCTAGCCTTATCCACTTTCCTGGAAATTCTGGTCTGGTTTTCCTTCAGCAATTCAATTAGCTTAATCAAACCGACCGGTTCAAACAATCAAACAATAAATTGTATTTTATTGTGAGACTAGGTCATGGAATTTGACCGAGTCAGCCACAGATAAAATCTGGTACTTGACGTGGTTTAGTTAACTCAACAAAGTTGTTTTGGTTAAACGGATTTGTTGAACACAAGTGTTTCGGTTCACTCACTAAAAACCCGGTTAGGATTACTTCATTGACAAACGAAGCAACCTTTAATTTCAAAACCGCGTTTTAATCAGACTTTTCCTTTCCTTTTTTTTGTTCGGTTTTAATGTTAAATACTTAAATTTCCTTTTCCTTTTTCTTCTCGGTTTTACTCGTCAATATAAATACAATTGTAACAAACAGATTTTGATCAAAGATCTTTTTTTTCTCTCAATTCCTTTCAACGTTCAAAATCGAAGATCTCTTGCCGGTCTTAAGCTATGAATGATCTTCTCTCCCGCTCGTTTAACCGCTCCGTCGCGGACGATTCATCGCCACCGCTCTCACACAACATCGAGATGTCAAAAGCGAAATTCTCCGGCGGAAGTTGCAAAGGTGGTAACAACCTCGACAAGTTCTACCTCGACGTGGAGGTGGTGAACGAAGACCTTAAAGAGCTTGATCGCCTCCGTCGCAACCTCCAATCGAGTCACGAGCAGAGCAAGACGCTTCATAACGCTATGGCGGTGAAAGAGCTGATGGAGAAGATGGAAACTGACGTGACGGCGGCGCTCAAAACCGCGAGGCGCGTGCAAGGGAACCTCGAGGCTTTAGATCGGGCTAATGAAGTCAACCGGAGTTTACCGGAAAGTGGACCGGGTTCGTCGTCGGACCGGCAAAGGATTTCGGTGGTTAACGGTTTGAGGAAGAAGCTGAAAGATGACATGGAAAATTTTAATCGAGTGAGAGAGACAATCACGGAGGAGTACAAAGAGACGATTGGGAGAAGGTACTTCACCGTCACCGGCGAATATCCCGACGAAGCTACCGTCGATCGTCTCATCTCCACAGGTAATTATTTTTTTCTCCAATTCTTTCTTAAAATATTTTTTGGTTAATTTCAAAATTCAAAATTCTAAACGTTAAAGAGCAAAAAAATAGCGCAAGTTGTTAATCGAGAAATTAGTTATAAGAAATTGTTTAGTTTATAATTGCGATTGATTAATTATGGTTAAATCATTATATTGATGATATAAATTGGAATTGTATTGTAGGTGAAAGTGAAACATTTTTGCAGAAAGCGATACAAGAACAAGGTCGTGGTAGGATTTTGGACACTATTAACGAGATACAAGAGAGGCACGATGCAGTGAAAGACATTGAGAAGAGCTTGAATGAGTTGCACCAAGTGTTTCTTGATATGGCTGTGTTGGTTGAGCATCAGGGTGCACAGCTTGACGACATTGAAGGCAACGTCAAACGAGCTGACTCGCTTGTTCGGTCTGGTGCCGACCGGCTTGTTAAGGCACGGTTTTATCAGAAGAACACACGGAAGTGGACTTGCTTCGCCATTTTGCTATTGCTCATTATTGTGGTTTTAGTTGTGTTGTTTACTGTTAAGCCTTGGGAGAGTAATGGTAGTGGTGGTACGCCTCGTCAAGCTGCTCCGGTTCAAGCTCAGTCACCGCCACCTCCGACTGTGAACCGCCGGCTACTTCGCTAAATCTTTTTTTTTTTGAGGTTCCCTCGGTCTATGCATGAGCATATCTATGTTTTGGAGATTGTTTTTTCGTTTAAACTTTTTCTTCTTTATATTTCTGTAACGTTTTGGCTGGTTAAACTCTGTGTATATATAATGCGATCATTGCTTATTTTTGACAATCGGCTTAAGTTAATTTGACCGTCTTTGAAAATTGATATATTATTAGAAGAACAGAGATTTACTAAAATCGATGGTTCGGATAATTTCCAAAAAATGGAAATCATAAATATAAAAAATGATTTACAATATTGTCAGATCTTAAATAGAGAATATTTACATGTATCTCTAAAGTATTATTTTCATCTCTATATCAAAAACAATGTATTTTGGACACGGATAAGTCTAATAATAATTCTTCCTACTAATATTGGGCCGTGGGAAAAGCCCATTGGTCATACAATCCAGCGTAAGAGAAAGAAAAAACTTTTGTTGTGTTGTGTTGTGTTGTGTTGTGCTATTGTTTCACTTTCTCTCGCAATGGCGTCATTGAAGATGATAGGCAAGTCAAATTTGGGAATTCTTCAAATTTTATTTCTTCGATCGATTATCTTCTCTTAATGTACAAGATTCAGTGTAACTTATCTGTTGCTTCGTTTTGCTTTTCTTCTGATGTATTTGTGCAAGATCAGACATAGCCGTTAACTTCACAGGTTAGTTGAGGCATTTCCACAAACACTTTGTGAACATATCCTTTTCTGATCAAATTATTGCACAGACCATATGATTTTTTTTTTGTCTAATTGAAACAGATGGGATGTTCAAGGGACTTTACCATGGCAAGAACTGTCATGTTCCTGATATTGCCACTGTCCTGAACCGGGCTTGGTCTGCTGGAGTCGATAGAATCATAGTTGAGTCACTTTTATTGAATTTCTTTGAATCATTACAAATGATGGAATTTGAGTAATTCAGATTCCAATTTTCTTGAATAGGTAACTGGTGGGTCATTGGAAGAATCAAGAGAAGCTCTTGCAATTGCAGAAACTGATGGTTTGTTTGTTTTACAGATCTTTTTTCTCAGAAAGTTTTAGTCTTTTAAAGTTTTTGATTAATCATTGTACATTTTTGCAGGTAGGCTATTTTGCACTGTTGGTGTTCATCCAACTAGATGCAATGTCAGTTTTTTGCTTTAAATACTCAGAGTTTCTTGAAATCTAAAGTCTAATCTTCTGTTTGGATTGTTCTTTAATGTCATTTTTGTGTTTATCCATCAGGAGTTTGAAGAGAGTGGTGATCCAGAAAAGCATTACCAGGCTCTTTATTCATTAGCCAAAGAAGGAATGCAGAAAGGGAAGGTGCTATTTCTTCTCCTCTAGTAGATACATTGAATTGCTTTCGTGATGATCGCAATCAAAACCATTCACGGAACGCTTTTTTCTTTACGATTAATTTAGGTGGTAGCAATTGGTGAATGTGGATTGGATTATGACAGGCTTCAATTTTGCCCAGTTGACATCCAGAAGAAGTAAGTTTGATCATAAAGAGTTGGATCTTTCGCATGTTTACATTGTTTTCTTTCCTTTCTCTATTTAAATATCATCCTACGTTTTCTTTGTTGAGAAAGGTATTTTGAGAAGCAATTCGAACTAGCATATGCTACAAAGTTGCCAATGTTCCTACACATGCGAGCAGCTGCTGAAGATTTCTGTGAAATTGTTGAGAGAAACAAGACTAGGTGAAACTGCAGGCTAATGTTTACTCGACTAGGGTTTAGATAAACTTCCTGGATTGCTTTTTTAGTCATCTTAATCTATAGTCCATGATTCACTGTCAGGTTCACTGGAGGAGTTGCTCATTCATTTACTGGTAGTGCATTAGACCGCGATAAGCTTCTCTCTTTTGATAAAATGTACCTTGGTAAAGACTTCCACTATTTTCCCATTAAAGACTATGCCTTTAGGCTTTAGCTCTCCTTGGCGTTTATAGGATCACATTTGTTCAGAATATCTTGAATTACTGTTCTGGTCTTTTGTTTTGCTGATGTGATTCTATTTTGCAGGAGTTAACGGCTGCTCGTTGAAAACAGCTGAGAATCTTGATGTAATGAAAGGAATACCAGTAGAGAGGATGATGATTGAAACCGACTCTCCATATTGTGATATTAAGAACACACACGCCGGAATCAAGTTTGTAAAGTCGACTTGGCCTTCCAAGAAAAAAGAGAAGTATGATCAAGAATCCCTTGTCAAAGGCCGAAACGAGCCATGTTTAGTTCGGTGAGTGTAGCTTCGAGAACCCCTTGCCAAATCTAAAAAATGTACAGTATACAGTCTTTAGATTACTTCTTATGCAATCCTTTATTTCTCCAGGCAAGTTCTTGAGGTGGTGGCTGGCTATAAAGGACTTGGTGATATAAATCAAGTTAGCTCAACCTTGTACCACAACACTTGCAGGCATGCTCTTTCTCTATTTCAGTTTTACATAATTTCTTTATCTGTTCGGAGAATGACATTTAAAGAGGACATTGAAAAAATTGTTCTTAAGCAAAGGTTTCGTCCTGATGGATTGTTTATGTTTCTGCAGAGTTTTCTTCCCTCAGGACTTAGATTCTGCTGCAGATGCTCTGCTTTCCGGGCACCATGAGATCGAGTAGCGGTAATCATGACATCAATTTGCAGTTTTCTGGAATCAAGATATGTTACACCATTTATGGACTAAAAGCATTCTCAATAAAAATTACAACAAATCTCTTGTTTTCTATCTCATATATTGTCTTCTTCTTCAGTCTCACTAGAACACAACACATTTATAAAGAAAACAAAATTTCCATTCTTTGGCCCTCGAGCTGATCAGTCTGAAACTTATCCGGAATCTATTGTGCTTTTGCTGCTTCATGTACTAACGTTCGAAAGCACCTCGCTACTCTCTAGACTGGCCTCTTCGGTTTCTCCTTCTTCTACAGACGGAGGAGATACAGTGGGTCTCTCTCTCTCTGAAGCCAAATTTAGCCTCAGTGCTCGTCCTTCAACTTCCTAAAAACCAAAACTAGTGAGTCTCAAAACATAAATCAACCACCCAAACAAGGAGGGAGAAGAAGCTTTACCACGCCATTCATGGTAGCCAAAGCAGACTGAACATCTTCCGCTGACTCGAAAGAGATGAAACCAAATCCCCGAGACCTCCCAGTATTTCTTTCATAGATAACTTTAGCACCAAGCACACCAGGTTGATCAGCAAATGCATCTTTTAGACCTTGTGAAGTTAGATTCCAACCAAGGTTTCCTGCATAGATCTTGTGAGGACTATCTACATAACTCTGGTTAGTATCACGGATTTTGGTTCTCATTACTTCTCTCTCGCCGCCTCTCGGCACCTCCGGGTAGTTCACTTTCACAGTTCTACCACCAATTTGCTACAAACTCAACATACACACACACAAGAGATGAGAAACATTCTAAAGCTGAATCATCTTTGATCAATGATGTGAACTTACAGAGCTGTTAAACATCTGAATCGCTTCCTTAGCTTCTTCAATGGTTCCCATGGTTACAAATCCAAATCCTCTGCTTCTATCAGTAACTTTATCATAAACAATCTGCAACAAGAGAACAATCTTCAGCCTAATTTTGCTTGACTCTCTCCAAAATCGATTGATAGAATCTCATGAAGGTTAGAGATGAACCTGAACATCGACGACATTGCCAGCTTCTCCAAAAAGCTGAGAGAGCTCAGAGGAAGTGATTGTGTAAGGTAAATTCCCAACGTAAAGCCTCCCTTCTTCACCACTCGCTTGTGTCGTTTGTTTTTCATCTGCGTCTTCTTCCTCTACTTCTTCTTCTTCTTCTTCCTCTTCATCATCATCTTCTTCTTCAACTGAGGCGTGGATTTCATCATCGGCCGAAGTAGCTCCGGTTTCGGCGGCGCAGAAGAAGCGGTGGCGACGGATATTTGAATGGGGAATTAGTGGGTTAGGGCAATTAGCAACGAGTTTGAAGGATTTTGGTGTAAAGCGATAGAAGAGTTGGAAATTGGAGTGGGAGGAGAGTAATGGATTAAAGGTAGCGGCGGACGAAGCGATGGCTGCGGCGGATACCGCCACGGCGGAGGAACAAGAAGCTGACGACATTTTTCAAAAGGGGTTTCTGGGATTTTTGGATGAGAAAGAGTGAGCGGATAAGATAGAATTTCTTCTCAACGATTTTTGTGGAAAGTTTTTTCTAAAAATTTATAAAATCATTTTAAAAGGCATTTCACACGAAGAAAATTATAAAATCTTACCGAAAAATGGAACTGTTATGAAAATTTATTTGTAAGATTACTGTGAAACTGTTATGAAAATCACCAGTGTCCTAATCACAAACATCTGAAATAGGCAAAATGATAACAAAACATCTCATGCAATTGCCCAAAAACCAAACCAAACCAGCTGAAACTAACTCCAATCATCCATCTCCAAACCAAAACAAGACTTATTTCAAAACTCTAGTGACACAAATAATATCACCACTAAGATTATCAGAGCAATATCATCAGTGATGATTCATCACCTTCTATGATAAGATATCAAATATTTGGGACGTTATGTCTTTCTTCTTGGCCCTTTTTTCTCTTCACCCCAATGGAATGGATATGTGCAGCATAAAAGAACAAGAGAAACAAGCAAAAGGAGAGTGACAAAGATGATATTCCTCTAGAAGTTACCTTGTATGTGTGATATCCATGAACTGCATAGCACATGATAAGAATTGATTTGCTCAGTAAATTTTGCAGGCAAAAGTTCACAAATGCCCTAGAATTTCAAGAAAACTTTTATTTTTCTACAAAGATATGACTTGAGTTCTCTCAGATTTATCCAGAACACTACTTGTAATGCCACAACCTTTTGGTCCAGCGTGTTGCGTCTTGCGCATAACCAGTAAATAGAAGTAGAACTGAGCCTTTTAAAGCTTGACTATTGGGCACCAAAGTTAGACCAAAAAGAAGGCAAACAGAGGCTTCCAATGACTGAATGCAATGACAAAGATTTTATTCCACTTGCATGAATAATTCGTAGAAGATAACCAGAGACAAACGAATTACAGCTTTTGGTTTGAGATATCTAAAGACATCAGCTTATTATGTTGAAGAGAAAGTATATATTGTTTCAAGAAAGATAAACAAAAAAACAGCTGAAATTAGTTTAAGGTTTCAAACACATGATGCTTTCAACATCATCCCAAAGAGTGGTATGCAAAGATCCGGTTCCAGAGAACTTGGGGTGTAATGACCCTATAACAACCGCTCCTGTTACACGATTCTTATCCAAATCGTAAATAACATGCATTGGTACTTTAGTTTTATCAAAGCTTCCCGCAGACAACCTGAGCTCTCCGCTGCGACTGGTATTGTGCATCAACAAATCATTAAAACGGAGGCTCTGCATAAGCTGGTGACTTGGCAAAACAAAAGCCTTATGCGACCATTCACTCTTCCTTGCATCCTCAACCACCCAGAGGTCTAGAATACATTCAGTCATGAGACGGGAATACTCAAAAACAGCTACTTTACCTCTGTAGATCATGAGATTAGCGCGACGGGTATTCCAGACGATGCAAGCTTCGATGGGTAATTCAATCAAATTAAACTCCTCAGTAATCAAGTCAAAACTCATGAGCACACATGTGTTCTTACCAACCCAAGAACCGTAATACAAGACACCATTGATGGAGACACCTTGTGAGTAAGGACGATGAGGAGGAGGATGAATGGATGGTGCTGTGAGTACCTCGCCATGAAGCTCCAGAATCAAGTACAAACACCTGATGCTCGGATCTCACTACTCTCTCTTCCTTGCTCACCTCCCACACTATGCTAAGCACTTTGTATGCATTATTAACAGAGTCGTGCCCAGAATAGTTCCACATACGGAAATCTCCTTCAACTTCCTCTAACCAGTTGGATTTCACTTTGGGCAAGTTCACAAGCTGCTTAGTGGTGAGGTTACAGATCCGTACCTCTCGCCCAACTCTGAAACACATCAAGCCACGAAGTGAGTTTACAAAGTCACCTCCCATTCCCGGAAAGGTCAGATCTTGGTTGAGATGACTGAAAGGGTCCGCTTCAAAATTATTATTAGTAGAGAGCAACGCATATTGGTGTTCCCTGTCAGACAAAAACATGAACGGACGTGGTTCTCGCTTCGGAGATGTCACTTTGAAGAAAAGGTTGGTGAAATATCGGGAGGAGATGAGGGAAGACCAGTGCTTTGATACACAGTTGAACCTCGTCACTGAATTTGCAGGTAATCTCGCCAGAATCTCCATCAAAATCTCCTGGGGGATCTCCTTAAAGGTAGCTGATCTCGAACCGGCCTTCACGATGCCTCTTCTTCTCCTTCTGCATCGTCCTTCTACCTTCTTCCTCAACCTTTTCACGACGGCAAGACGAATAAACAATCCCATAGCTACACTTTTGTTCCAATGTTTTGTCCTTTTTTTGTTGTAGGCCAACCTAAGCATGTACTTTGTAGAAAACAGAACTGAACTCAACTCAATCCTAAGAACCAAAGGAATTGTAGTGTAACCCCTTTTTCACGCAATTAAAAAAAAACAAATAAATCAACTTTAACCCAAAATTGAGATGCATACGGCCCAAACCCGGCCCAAACCCAGCCTAAACCCAAGTATCACGGGCCCTTCTGTACATGCTTAGTGACAAAGAAACCTATCACATATATGGACCGAATCAATCCAACATTAGCTTAGTAATTACATTTTAATCAATCCTTGACGAGATATGTATATACATATTTTTTAAGCTAATGCTGGACACATATGGACCGAATCAAAATTTAATTCGGTTGGATCCAGTTATAAAGAAAAGAATTATCCAATCTGGTTTGGATAGTTCTGTTCAAAAACTATAACTACTAGGTAACATTCTTATTGCAACGAGCCCAAAAAAATAATCATTTACAACATTATTTCTTTTCTTTTTTTTTCTGTTCACAATTTTATCACATGTTTACAGAATTATAAAATTCTCATGTCTGGATTTAATTTGGTCGCTTGTGAAATCTCATTGACATGTTGAAAATTGTGATCCCAGCATTGTACATGCTACTTCCATCAATTTACCTGCAACATATTATAAAATCAATTAGAAGTTTTATTAATTTTCCAAACGGTTTGGTTTTTATTTTGTCAGTGTGCTGAATTAACAATACCAATAACAAGGAAGGACTATTAAAATGATTGTTTCTAACTGATGCTCAAAGAAATATATTTAGAAAAATAAAAAAAAGTTGTTCTCTTTATTAACCAATATGACTCATAACTCGCTTTAAAAAAAACAAAGAAAAAAGGAACACTTTGTGATTTTCATTCACTTTAACATGGGATTCTTTCGTCGGTGGATCATTAAATAGTTATAAATCCTAATTATCTCCAAAATTTTATATAATATTGTTGAAATATAATATATCATAAAAAAGTTTGTTAGAGAGACTTTGTCTCCATTCTCACACGTTTGTACTTTATGCCAAATCTCACTTGTTTACTTAGTACTCTCTCGTTGAAAGACTAATTGTATAATGACTAATCACTATTACCTTTCTATAACAATGATTTAATTATCCATTTAATATGACAAAATCATAGAACATAAGAAATTCCCTAAGCAGGTAACTTTATACTTTGTAATAATGTCTATAACAAAACTTAATAATTTTTTTATAGTGGAATGTATTTGTTTAAACTTATATAATTTGTGGTTAAAATGTCACGATCAAATAGGTTAGGACAAAAATTAAGAGACTAAAGATTTATTAAAAATCGATTACCTCTTCTTGGTTTGGCGGCTTTCTTGACGACGGGAGCGGCGGTTTTCTTCTCGACCGGAGTTTTTTCCTCCGGGAACAAAACACCGTCAATCCCTTGAACCGAAATCCGTCCATCGGTATAAATATCAGGATCGAACAAATAAGCCGAACCATCACCATGACCGAACTTAACCGAACCATCTGCCTCCTGAGCCTCTACTTTATGAGGAAACCGAAGTGAATCGTACCGGACTTTCCCAAACCGGCGTACAGAATTGTACATACTCTCTTCGGTTTGGTATTCCGGTATGATGTGGTAATACACAATTTGCTCTGGAGCTCCCGGTTCACTCAATTGGTCCGTGGTCAACTTAGCCATAGCTTCGTCGTTTGGAGCTAAAACGGTTAAAACGTAACCTTCCGACACGAGCCGACCCATCTCGGTGGCTAGAGAAGTGAGATTAACGAGAATGTCTGCCATTTCATTGTAGCCACCGTAATGAAGAAGCGTGTGAATGAAATCTTTAACTTGAGCCTCTCCGTTGAAATGGTGACGAGGCCCACCCGGTCCAGGTGCCGGAGCCGGAGCTAGTGACGGACCAGGTGACATTGCGTCGTAAACCGGAAGAACCGGTGGAGCTCCGGCGGGAATTGGTGCTGGCTTTTTCTTGAGACGGTGAGTTCTTGGATCAACCTCCGGTGCTCCTTCCGGTAACACGGCGGCGATTGAACGTAGACTACGACGGCGGTTGAAATCTTCTTGAACAGAACGTGGGATTAAAAGACGTTCGATGCCGTGGATGATTCCGTCGGGTCGGGTTAAATCATCGGGTTTGGTAATCTCAGCGGAGTTGACTTTTCCGTTGGTGAAGTGGAGGTGGTCGTTGGAGAGAGTACGGTGGCTGACGACGGCGGAGGAGAATTGAGGAGAAGTGATTCTTTTGGGAAGAATGTGAAACATTAATAAAGATTGTAATGATTTGAGGTTTTTTGGTTGGAGCAAGAAAGATTTGAATTCAGGATCAAGATTTTTTTCTAAGGCATCGTTACGAGGAGCAAAGATTGTGATGTTGTGTTGACCAACAGCTTCTTCTAAGGTTTGGAGAAGAAGAGCTTTCTCTACGAGCTCTGCTAGTTCTGTGTAGTGTGAGTCAAGAAGAGCAACGAGGACGGAGTTGGAGTTTATTTGACCCGACCCGGGTTTATCGGGTAATGCGGTGGTAATGGAGATAGTGAGGAGGAGGAAGAAGAGAAGCTTGGAGAGATCATCCATGCTGGTGGTGGTGGTGGAGAAGAAAGTGTCGGTGAAATGAAGAATGGTTTTGAGTTTTTTTTTTGGGTTGTGA